ACACCTTACAGTTTGTGGTTAAAGCACCTCAGCAACAGGGAAACATGGGCAGCCATCAGGATTCGGGGGACTATACAGAAGTATTGCAAAGCCTGGGGAAGCCTCCAGAACGCCAGGATCGCATGGAGGCCGAAACCAGCATGCTGCTATTCAAAGCATTTGTGGTGTGCGATGTGGCGCTCTCCAAAGGTTTACCCCAGACCCCGCATCCTGGTTCCGCGTCTTGGTAACAAAGCGCCTGGTAGGTGACAGGCTGCGCTGCTGCAACGGGCTGATAGGTCCTGCAGGGTGCCAGCCCCTATACGCACCACACTCTTGGATTTCGATCACAGGGGCTCTCAGCATCCTGACTGCAACAATGAAGTGTGGTCTCACGATTCGTTAAAGGGCTGTTGGCTTAGCACAGTAGACTTTTTGTCTAAAGCAAGTCCAGGCATTTGGCTGCTTTCTTGCGTTTCTTTAACTAACTGCCGCGGGTTTGTCGCCTTCACTTTGCATTTGGATTTTCGAACCACAAATTGCTTACAATGAGAAAGCTGGATTTTTTGCGGGTGAGTCGATTTCCAGTCAAAAGATCCAGTGTATGTTCTTGAAGTTCCAGGGCTGAAGCCGCAACATTATCAAAGTCCAACCCTTCGCCTGATCTGCAAAACGTGAGCCTACAAGTCTGAGCGTCTAAGCCCACAAGCAGAAAGCGGAGAATCCTTAAACTCAGAAGCCCAAACCTACAGACCGTTATCTCCTGAATCCCTCAAAGCTCCCGCGGTCGAGACAGGCTGCGCGGCCGTTGAGGACACGGTCGTGTAGGTCGTCACCTCGCACGGATGGTCTCAAGAGATCTGGTTTGGAGTTACCGGTGCTGATTAATTTCAACGCCCAAGCTGGAAGCAGTTCCTGCATACGAAACATGCCTTTAACTCGATCATACGTTCCCCCAAGTAAAGTTGGGCCGACTGGCCTGGACATCCAAGTGGGGCTCAACACGAGGTGTGCAGCTCCTTTGTTGTTGGGGCAACTTCTGCTGTGGGTCCAACATCACCAAAGACGCTTCACGCAGATACCACTCTAAACCTAAGTGGCACGAGCTGGAGCTGTAGCTATAACTCGCCCTGCAAGAGCAAGAATGTTGCAAACCGGACAGTGAACCGGACCCGAACCCAGCAAACCAGCCCAGCGTAGGTTTGCACACCCTCCCTGGCCACAGAAGAAGGGAAACGGGTTGTGAAGTGGGCATGCGGAGCACCTTCGGTCCTCAGGGTCGCTTGTGAAACCATTTTCTACATTCCACATTCTGTATCCCAACAATAACCCCAGCAGAAGATGTTAACCGTGCGCCCCAGTCAAGGCACTTTACGATTATATTGTCTGGGGAATCATAGCCTTGACGCATGGAACAGCAAGCCATGGTATCAGCAAGAAGTCTTGAAAATGCTCACAGCGTGTCAAGAATGCTGGGCATGCCTGGCTTTGGACCTCAAACGCCGCCCCAAATGTCATGATAGAGTCCCCGGACTTCTAAAACCACTCCGCTCATGCTCGGCGCCTGCAAGCCCCAAAACCTTGCATGTTGAGTTGACTGCCGGTAATTAGGGAACGACGACCTGATAGTAGTATTGACCACACAGTAGGCAATAGTCACTAGCTTAAAAACCGTGGAAACCCCATTGACGTTGTGCTCAACCCTCATCCCTGACTAGCCCCTGAAGTTCACCTGCCCTGAGACCCCGCTGAGCATCAAAGTTCTCTTCTCGTTTATTGCATTCTGGGAAGCAACAATCAGCCAGCTCTTCAGGACTCACAAACTCTCTGGAGGGGGCTATGTCTATAAATCATACCCGCCACAATAACCAACAGGAAGTAAACTTCGACAAAGGGCTGGCTGCGCCATGGTTGCAAGGGCTCAAGACGCAAGGCAATGCTTGAGCAAAGGGCTGCAGGGGTTCGGTTTTCGGGCCAAGGAATGTAGAAGGATCTCCAACCAAAGATCTAGAAAGAGGCCAAGCTAGCATGAATCATCCAAGTTCCATCCTTCAACGAATTCGCCTTTGTTGTATGGATGATGGATTATCGTTGTCCTGGTGGTTATCACCGTCGTCGTCGTCCTAGCCATGATCAGGTCTCATCCTGGTCCTGGTCCTGGTCCCAGTCCTGGTCCTGGTCGTCGTCCAAATCGTAGCAGTAGTAGCAGTAGTAGCAGTAGTCG